GATTAAATGGGAAATTGCTACTTTTAAAAAATATATAGATGAGCAGATTACTCCCCGTGGTTTAAGGCTTTTGAAATTACCTACTTCCGACCAAGACGACCTTGAATTTATGGAGGAATGGAATAGTAAATTGGAGTTATGTACCTTTGGTTTGATGGAAACACTAATAGTTAAAAAAAGTAAAAAATTGTCTATTTTAGACATTGAAATAAATAACCTGAGAGAAAAACTTTTACCATTTACCGAAACCAAAGCATACAAACAAAATTCTATTCTAATTCAAAATAAAATTGAAAAAGTTGAAATTGACACAAAACATCTTAAGAATAGAAAATATATCAGAGATAAAACAGACTATTCAAATAAACAAGTGAGAACTTATCATCTTCAAAAAAAATACACTTCAGATAGTTACTCCTCCAGAACGAATTATAATGAACACAAAAATCTTACACATACTCACTTTCACTTCCACAATACGTCATATCACCCACCCTCCAAGTACCAGAATTATGTTACACGTAAAGCTCACCATCAGTCCCCATCACAAATCAGGCCTTTAAAAACCTCAGTCCACCAATACCATGCTCCTTCCCATATACCATATCAAAGCACTTTAAACCAATTGCCTTCGTACAAACAGAGAAAACCTTCTCATCATACTTATAATTCCGCACCTTTATCTTCAAAATATTACAATTCGTTTGGTTCTAATAATTCACCTAAACCTCAGAGATCATGGTACACAAATGATCACACTGAATACTCTAACTACTCAAAATCACCTATCATCCCCAATCACCCAAACAGATACCAGTTACTATCAGTAGATTCAGACTTCGACAATGAAGAACATTTTTTAGAAATACGCACCCACCAGCCTCCACTAGCCAAAACACCGCACCCCTCACACTCCCAAAAAAGAATTCTAAGTTTAGAGGAAGACGAAGTGGAAGACGCGAGCAAAAGGGAAAGACTAGAAAGATAACACCCCCAAAAGCTTCCTGTAATGGTATTTTTAATCTTTCTCAAAAAGTATTATCGGTTGCACAAATGTCTGTTCTAAATAAGGGTCTAAAATTTGCTCCTACTTCTTCATTTAACTCGTTTCAAGCATTCCTTGACGTAAACAAATTCGTCAGGAAAGCAACTTTAAAAAGATTTTTTATTAGTAAAAATAACGAAACATCAATCCTATCTCCTTCGTTACAGACAGATGAAGGATCTTTTATAAATACTCACCTCAGAGAGAAATCTAAATTTTATCCATCTTTTGCAAATCGGCACCTCTAACACTATTTGAAAAACTCGTTCATAAAGATCTAGAAAAAATCTAATATAATAAATATGATCCTAATAACCTCACTAACGCCGAAAGAAATGCAATTAAAGAACTCCAAAAAGACAAAGATATTGTTATCAAATCAGCAGACAAGGGTTGTGGAGTAGTCATTCAATCTAGTAAAATGTATATAGATGAAGCCCATAGACAACTGAGGGATACAAATGTATATGAAAAATTAGTATCTGATCCCACAAGAAATATACAACTGATTTTATCTGATTTTTTTTAAAAAGGTTTGGATCTAAATATTTTAAATAAACATGAATTTAAATTTTTAAATAAAGAATTCCCTATAACTCCTGTTATTTATTTTCTCCCCAAAATTCATAAAAATGAACATAATCCACCAGGAAGACCAATCGTCTCTGGGATAGGGTCCCTATTGTGTAACCTTTCTCAATACATCGATACTCTTCTTCAGCCCTCAGTTAAACTTATGAAATCCTATTTAAAAGATTCAATGTCACTTTTAAAATTTTTAAACACTTTTACTTGGAAATCCAATTTTATAATGGTCACTTGTGATGTCCAATCTCTTTACACTATCATTCCTCATGATATAGGATGTCAGGCTATTAAAAAGATTTTAACTTTAGAAGCCAAAATTCCTGACACTCAAATAGATTTTATAATAGAAGGTATAAATATTATTTTAAATAATAATTATTTTTGGTTTTTAGATTCATTTTACTTACAAAAGAGGGGGAATGTTATGGGCACTAGGTTTGCCCCCAGCTATGCAAATCTATTTATGGCAGATTGGGAAACACAAGCCATTTGGGGTAGCCATGCATGGCGAGCAAACCTAGTGTCATATTTTAGATATATAGATGATCTGTTTTTTTATTTGGGAAGGATCAGAAGATAATCTCATTGCTTTCATCAATAATTTAAATACCAATAATAGAGGTATCATCCTCACACACGAATATAGTAAGGAATCGATCAATTTTTTAGATCTTAATATTTTTATTGATAAAGGTCAACTTCAAACAAAAACCTTTTTTTTAAAAGGTCTGTGTAAATACGGCAATTGACAAGTCAAGCTGTCACTATAAGCCTTGGCTTGAGAGTGCCCCTAAGAGTCAGTTCCTACGACTCCGCAGAAATTGCTAAAAAATTACAGGTTTTAATGAACAAGCGGAAATTTAAAAAAATTAATTTATAGAAAAAAATTATTCTGAATCAGACCTAAATAATACAATCAATACAGTGCAACAAAAAGAACGTAAAGATCTTTTAACCTATAAAAATAAAGAACAAAATGAAACAATATCTCTTCCTGTGATTTTTAATTTTAATAATAAAAGCAATGATGTAAAAAGAATTATAAAAATGCATTGGCATATACTCAAACATAATGAGGTACTTAACTCAATTCTACCACCCCACCCAAATATTGTATTCAGAGGAGCTCCTAGTTTTAAATCTATTCTCACCACTAATTTCACTAAAGAATCTCCGACTAAGAACTTCTCTTTTTTTCCTCAGACAAAAGGTTTTTATAAATGCAAACAATGTATAGTGTGTAGAACTACAGATTCTTCAGTTTTATCTAAGGTTACCCAATTTAGGTCAAATATAACCAAAAAGGTATATAATATTTATGATTTTATTTGCTGCAATTCCAAGAATGTTGTTTATCTGCTCGAATGCCCATGTGGCCTCCAATATGTGGGGATGACCACAAGGTGCTTAAAGATAAGACTGAGCGAACATTGCAGAAATATAAAAAATGGATACTTAAATCATACAGTATCCAAACATTTTATTATGCATAATAAAGACCCAAATTTACTTAAATGTATTGGTATAAAAAAATGTTCCCCCTCATGGCGTGGAGGAGATATAAAAAAGGTACATGGTCTAAATGCAGATTTCGACTTACATAATTTTTTATGATATTTTTTTTTTTTCCTTTTATGAATATTTGTGTATATGCCTTTAATTTGTTTTAACTCTGCTGTTTTATCAAATATTGTTAACATTGTTATTCTTATATCATTTTATTGTTAATAGGTCTTTTTAAAACTGTCCTATTCTTAAATGTTTTATTTTAAAACAGTTTTATTCATTTTTATATACTATTCCTATTAAATAAGTATATCTCCTATTTGCCATTTCCAATATGGCTGATCTAATACCTTCCCAAGATGGCCGAACCCCTTATAGTTTATACTCCCACTCCCCTCCTCATTTGGTCTCTCGGCCGCCATTTGTGGCCATAAACTACTTATCCCATGCTGCCGTTCGGCACTTCCGGTACGCGGAAGTGCCGAAAATCACGTGACCGTTTTAAATCATGAATTTTTATACTTTCCCCCCCTCGTTTTTACTTCCAATTGATTTTAAATAGGTCAGGACTAGTGATGTACCGAACGGTTCGCTGGCGAACGGTTCCCGGCCAACATAGCATGTTCGCGTTCGCCACGGCGGGCGAACATATGCGCGGTTCGACCCGCCCCCTATTCGTCATCATTGAGTAAACTTTGACCCTGTACCTCACAGTCAGCAGACACATTCCAGCCAATTAGCAGCACAGCCTCCCTAGCAGACCCTCCCACCTACTGGACAGGCATCCATTTTAGATTCATTCTCAAGCTGCATGCTTAGTAAGAGGAGGGAAAGTGTAGCTGCTGTTCATAAGATAGGGAAAAGCATAGCTAGGTTAGGGATAAGGGTATGCTTTTTTTTATTTTTTTTTTCTATGTAATGTAATTGCACTTAGTTGTCTGCCACTGCTGCCAGCTTCTGTGTCAGGCTCACAGTGCATACTGTGCCCATTTCCCCAGTCAGTGCCACCACTTACATCTGGTGTCACAATAGCTTGGATTTAAAAACAAAAAACTTTTTTCACTGTTATAGATTGAATAGCAGTCAGTGTCCTTAAAGCGGTGTGTTAAGCCTAACAGTGATACGGTGCCCAGTGCCACCAATTACATCTGGTGTCACAATAGCTTGGATTTAAAAAAACAAAACTTTTTCACTGTTATAGATTGAATAGCAGTCAGTGTCCTTAAAGCTGGTGTGTTACGCTAACAGTGGATACGCCGTTGTCAGTGCCACCAATTACATCTGGTGTCACAATAGCTTGGATTTAAAAACAAAAAACTTTTTTCACTGTTATAGATTGAATAGCAGTCAGTGTCCTTAAAGCGGGTGTGTTACGCTAACAGTGGATACGCTGACCAGTGCCACTAATTAGATCTGGTGTCACAATAGCTCGGATTTAAAAAAAAAATAATCTTTTTTCACTGTTATAGATTGAATAGCAGTCAGTGTCCTTAAAGCGGGTGCGTTACGCTATCAGTGGATACGGTGACCAGTGCCACCAATTAGATCTGGTGACACAAAGCTTGGATTTAAAAAAAAAAAACACTTTTTTCACTGTTATAGA